CAGCTGACATAACAACAGTGAACACGGCAGCCACCAACCACCTCCCAACTCAATCTAAATTACAAGGGCCAGTGAGGTGGCTCAGTGGACTAAGTGCCTGCTTAGGCAAGCACAGGGACTGGGGTTAGATCCTCAGCACTGAATGCCGCGTTGGCAGGCGTATACTGAGCTGGCCACTGAGACTGGGCATGGTGACGCAAGCCCATAATCCCAGCGCTGGGGAGGCTGAAAACAGGAGGGTCGCTACGAAGCCAAGCTACACACTGAGACCCTGTACCAAACACATTTTTTAAAAAAAATCTAAATTACACAAAATGGGCTGGGAGTATACCTTAGTGACACAGGGCCTGCCTGGCATGTGTGAGGTCATGAATTCAATTCCCAGCACCAAAAGACAAGACAAAAAACAAATAAATTACACAAAATGAAGCAGAACTTACAATTCAATCCCCCCTGACATGTGCTCAGCCCCCTGACCTGGGGTCCACTACCATCTCCTTTTAGAAAGGGGGAACTGGGGCTCACCCCGAGAGATCCCTGACCAAGAAGCAGACAGTGGGTAAGAGCTTTGAAGCGAGCTGGGACTTGAACTCAGGTCCTGGGGCTCCATGCAGAGGTTTCACCATGACGCTGTCTCTCTAGCGACCAAGATCGGTGTCAGGGATACTGTGTGTTTGGGTTGGGAGCTGAAATGGTGCTCAGCACACAGAAAGTACCAAAAAAAAGTCCTGATACGTAACTCTTCTCCTCAAATTCATATTTGCGAGAAAGACTAGTACAATCCCATTTCTCAGATGAGTTACTGAGGCTCTGAAGGAAATGCTCATGGTACTGGCTTGTTTCCAGCAAGGAGGAGACTGGGAATCACTGTGGGCTTTCCTCTCCGCTGTGAAATGGGGGTGAGGCCATCGTGCCTCCAGGGACCTCTTCGCGTACCAGGGACCGCAGGGCCTGGCACACAGGAGGAGTCTAATAAGCGCCACTATTGTTCCTGGCTTGTTACGGTCCCCGGGGCGGGGCTGGGGTGGAGCTGTGTGTCCCCAGCACACACCTGGTTCTTGGGGAGATGCCAGCAGTAAGAGGAACGAAGGAGCCCCAAACTACATTATAAGTATACTGGTGATGGAGGCGTGGGGGGCGTGTATGCTGTCCTCCCAGCGCTGGGGGGCTGAGCCTGGGGGTGGCCTAGAGTTTGAGCCCAGCCTGAACTTGTAGTAGTCCCCTCTTGGTTCTCGTCTTGGCCCAAGGTGGTCCTTCACAGAACTATCCAGCAAGACCCTGACTCAAAAAACAAAACCACAAGGGCCGGTCAAATAGCTCAGTGGATTAAAGCAGATTAAGTGCCTGTTTAGGCAGACACAGGGGCCAGGAGTTTGATCCCCAGGCCTGCCACACTGGCCCCTGCCCTGGGGCATGCTTAGACTGCGATTGAGACTGGCTGTGGTGGCACGCACCTGTAATCCCAGTGCTTAGGAGGCTGTAAACAGGAGGATCACTACGAGTCTGACCTATGTAGTGAGACCCTGTAGGCCCCTGTAGACAAACAAACAAAAAACCCCCACAAATAGATAACATATTCTGAATGAGAATATTAAAAAAATCCAGACTCGATGAAGGGCTCCACA